ACAGGGGTGCCCCGGGTGTTGAGTAGTTCATTGACTACAGGGGTGCCCCGGGTGTTGAGTAGTTCATTGACTACAGGGGTGCCCCGGGTGTTGAGAAGTTCATTGATTACTTACGTGAGGCTGAACATCCAATAGACAGACTTTGTTTCTAGCAAGCACAGACCGAACCGAGTCAATGCTGGTGCCATAGTAGTTGTTTTTATATTCACCATATTCAATGAACCTGTAGAAAATTAGAGATACATCGCATCATTTTTGAATTAAAGAAAATGACAGTTAAGAAGACATAGAATTCATATGGAAGGTTTTTTTTTCCCTTGGTGGAACATGTTTAATAAAATAAACTCTGCCCAATAAAATAAAGAGGGCCACGTGCTTCAGAAGTCAATTTACCAAAACCAACTATTTTATAAGTTCAAATCAGTAACACTTGCTTGTATTACACTTAAGCCGAAAAAGGAAAAAAAGAAGAGAAAGCACTGTGCTCCAGCAGTGCTCCAATGTTTTCCATCACCTTTTCCCAGATCTAATGCAACGCAGTAAAAGGGTGAATAAACCAAACAATAGAAACGACTGCAAGTTCATGGCACACCCCAGAATAACCAAGCTCGGCTCAGAAGGAAAGGGGGTCGGGTGGTGGTTAATGGGGCCAGGGCAGCTATTAAAACACCAACCTCGGGCCAAGCGAGAGAAAAAGCATTTTGATGTTTCAATAAAAGCCCACAACGCTCCATTAAAACACACATTACTCTCTGATACCCTAAAATATTAGCAGTTCAGTAAATGGGTGACCTGGCTGGGGTACGGCATGGGGAGGGGCAGCAACGCAGAGCGAGCTGGAGGACCTGGGACAAGCAGCGGGATCACCACCCCCAGCTAATTTCTTGAAGAAGCAAGGGCAGAGCATGTGCGCAGACACACGGTCATCCTCGGGGACTTATAGCACGGACCCCACCTCCCAGGGCCGCCAGGTGTGCCAGGGCAGAACTGTGCACCAGAGAGATGTATTATGCGGCTGTTAAGTCGGTTTTTAAAAATAAAACTCAGCTGGCATTCTCGATTCGACTAGTGGGGTGGAAGGAGGACACAGGAACACACCGGACACCTTCTGCCATTCTACACGACGATTCCTTTCTGTTTAACTTAACAGCAGTGGAGACGGTCCCAGTTATTAGAAGCTGAAGGGGAAGAGAGAGCAATGACTAGCCAGCATCCTGCTGCTGGTGCGCGGTCAGCATTCCTTTCAAAGTCCACGTTTCACAGGGAGGGGAACTCCTAGTCGTCTGAAGCGCGATACATGCAGGCACGCGCAAGCCTGAAAACGGGTCACACGAAAATCACGGGGACATTCCCACATACTTGTTATTTTGCACGTCTGTCTCAAACAAGTGCTTGGAAATGAAAATATATTCCACGCCGTCACTCTCCTGGCTTCTCCGGGCCCTGGTTGTGTCTGGAATTTAATTACAAACAGTTTAGGAATGCCCACATCAGTTACCTTAAGGAAAGATTTACAAAGAAATCATCAAACGCATTTGATTAAAGGGTTATTTCTTTAAAAGTTTGTGTGTTTTTTTTAAAGCGGATAAAAAGAAATGCAGCTAATAAAGCACATATAGTAGTTTCATGTATTTATCTTTTCAGATATTAGAATTTTGATGAATTTTAAGGCAGTCAATATTAAATTGCACTGTCTGGGCTATTATCCACTATGTCTTCAAGGTTCTCCAAAATGCTAATTAAATGGAAAAAGAAAACCCAACTGACCGACTGACTGCAGAATCGAGCCGACAGAGTAGAACTGCCTTATTGGGTTTCTTTGCAGAACATGCCCGCCTCGTCTTTCTCCCGAGGCGGGTGGGTGTGACCCACCACACCAACCTCTGGGCCAGCAGCCCAAGGCCTTGCCCATTACAACACTAGATGTGGACCCTTGAGAAAAAACAAACAAAAAACCCACTTCATTGGCAAGCACCATGCTTATTAGCCTTATGCATGGCTCTTTATTACGGCTTCCCCGCCGGGTTGTGAGGTCAAGTGAATCTCCTTAACTGTCCTGAGCACCAGGCACACTGTGGGTCCGCACGCTCCATGTAAAGGAATGAAGTCAGTGATTACTATTTGTGCTTGTTCTTCGCTTCTTATGTGACAAATTATTCGCAGCCCCTCTTTTTAGAAATGCCACCCAGCTCCTAACTACTTAGTAATTAAGACTTAATTAATTTGGTACTTAAGTACGAAGGGTAGTGCTATTCTCTGGGATGGCCATGTCCTTGGCAGGAGCAGCATGACAGCCCAATAACTTTATCATAAAAACCAAGGATGAGTTCCACAGCAGGAAGAATCTGATTAAAGTATCTACAACCAGATACACAGCCCACAATATGAGGGAGATTCCATCTCGTCTGACGCCCTGTTTTGGAGTTTGAGGTTAATTTCCTTTTGTTACTTTAGCAATTATGTTGTTGCTGCTGCTTTTGCTTTTTATTTTTTAAGCAAATACTGGCTTTTGGAAAAACACTAGTGCTGAAACTAAAATTGAGGGTGTTCCATGAAGGAACTTGTTTTTCAGGACCCCAGAACAGAAAGGATGGTCTACACGCAGTCCCTCCGCAGGACCCTTGGGAGACACAGATACACAGTTTAAGGATCACGGTGGGGAGGCACAGAGCTCTCTCAGAGGATGAGAAATAGCATTTAGAATCTTATCAAGGGATAACGGCATAATACATTTGTGAACTAGCCAGACACACAAGTCCACGACTGAAGTGGTCCTCATACCGATCAATCTGAATTATGCAGGTCAGAGGCGACCCCACTGACAAAGAGCTGCAGTGTCTCACTGCAATGAAGGCTCACGGGAATGCCACAAATGTACCTGTTACTACCTCGGAAGTCCAAGCGAAGGCTTTGGCCCAGGTTCTGGTGGAAAAGGGAAAGGTGGCTACATCAATCATAGTCATTCCCTACTGTCGGGTTGATTCTGACTCATAGCAACCTCTAGCGGACAGAGTAGGCCTTAGGCTGTGGGTTTCCAAAATCATAAATCTTTACGGGAGTAGAAACCCTCATCTTTCTCCTGCAGAGCAACTGGTGACTTTGAACTGCTGACCTTGCAGTTAGCAGCCCAACATGTGACCAACACAATCCAGGCTACTAACTCACCACCACTCACTGTTTAAACACCCACTATGCTTACAGTTCAAGACAAGCCATGCTTCCCAGCAACAAAATCCCCCAAAAATTGCCTTGGGAAGAAAAAGGAAATATATAATAATAAATTTTTTTAAAACCAGAGCTATGATTTATAACACCATGTTTAAAGAAATCTAAACTGTTACCTTATGGGCAAAGATGTGTTCTAGAGTATGCGTACAATCAAAAGTCTGATATGCAGCTAGAACCCCCCTGACGCTCTCCTGAGACATGAAAGGCTGCCTGGCAGGATCCAGTTTTCGGATGACAAAAGGTTTTGGAACTTATCAGGTATTTGAAATACCCGCAATATCTTTTGTTAATGAATTTATTTTACTTTACTAAGCCCTGTTGACATAATGGGTTACACACTGGGCTGCTAACCACCAAGTCAGCAGTTTGAAACCACCAGCTGCTCCACAGTGGAAAGATGAGGCTGTCTGCTCCCGTCCAGAGTTATAGTCTGGGAAACCCACAGGGGCAGTAACACCTGTCCTACAGGGTGTTTCCGAGCCGGAGTTGACGCGATGGCAGTTGGTTTGAGTGAAAAGAAAGATCCTTGGGAAGACTGGTTACTTTAATCACCATTTAAATGTGTGGCTGATCATCTGGAGCCCTATAACCACAGTAATCCTCCTTTCTCAAGGATGAGAACCCGCACAAGCAGATTCAGACGGAAAGCCAAGGGGTCCTGCCACCGCTTTCTTCACAAGCAACTTCTAATGCTCAGGAGGACCATGTGAGGATGTCCAGACAGCTCTTTCACACATATAGAAGCCAAGAATATGGTAATCTCTGGATTTAACATCCCCTTAAACACTTATTTTAAATCACACTAGTTATAGCTGTACAAGTGGTCCCACTAGGATAGCATGGTCACATGATCTTATTGCTCAGCTTCCTCCGCTAGGAACGTTAGGTAACTATGGAGACCACCAAAACTGAGCACCTAAACTGCTGTTAGATGCTGTCAAGTTGAGTCCTACTCTCAGTGACCCATGCGAGAAAACAAATGCTACAAGCCCTGTCCTTTATGGAAGCCGATCGTGCCCAGTCGTCCTCCTGCAGAACTGCTGCTGGGGGTTTTGAACTGCTAACCTTTCAGTCAGTAGGTAAGCACTCTATAATGTCACCTTGCCTGGGCCCCTTACTAAATACTTATACACTTGTAATATTTGGAAAATGGTAAAATAGTGAAATAAAAAGTATAGAAAATTCCACATCTACATGTAGAGTTGGATGAATTTTATAGAACAAAGGTACCAGTATAATCAATGCTCTAACGAGCAGCGGAAACATTGCCTGCACCCTAGAATCACCTGGCTTCCCAACTCCCCCTCTCTCACGGCACACAGTAACACCATGCATGGAGGTGTGTGAGTGTGTAGGTGCGTGTCCTCACACTCATCAGGTTTGTGGGATCCACCCCCACTGCTGGACGTGCTGGCAGGTCTTCCAGTCTCACCGCACTATGGCATGCCACTGTGTAAAAACAACTGCCCTGGGCTTAGCCCGTCCATGCCAATGGGCATTTGGTCGTTTCCAGGTTTAAGCTACTATGAAAGGTGTTTCTGAAAATATCCAGTATACGCCTTTTGATAAATGTATTAGGGTGGGTGTATGCTGGGTGAAGAATCGCTGGATCACCATGCTGGCTGTAGTGACAGTAACATTTGGTGCAGGGGGTGGGTTAACAAGCACGTCCACCAGCTATGTTGCAAGAGTTTAACAGCACCCTATTTATTAATTTTTTTTCCATTTTATTTTTCTGGTAGATCCTTAGCACCTGTTTTGGAAAGGAGAATTATAGATTTAAACATCATCAAACAGAACACTGGTGGTGTCGGCCAACTGGCCAATTCGACTTGAAGCAATCAGTATCTGCAAGGCAAGACGATTCTAAATGTTCAAAGTTGCTCCTGAAAATATAGTCTCCTTTAAAGAGGTACATCAATTCTCAATTGTTGCTATGTCTATACTTTCCAAGCCCGTCTGATGTTAGGATTTATCCAGGATGCTGACTATAAATACAAATTCTTAGGCCTTCTGTTAGATCTCCAGAAAGAACATCTCTTGGGGTCTTTTTTTTAAATTTTTTTTTTATTTTAAAGCACTTTTTATTGTGGGTTGCGCGACAATCTATAGAGCAGATAATCAGTCTTAAAGTCAACAATTCGTATACTTTTTGTTTCAACTTATCTATGAAGCCATCACCTGTTCCACATATGCCTGTGTTTGTAGTTTCTATTCCTTATCTCCTAACTGCTCAGCTCTGTCCTTGGTAAATGTTGCCCTTGTATCTTTTTTTTTTTTTAACATTTTATTAGGGGCTCATACAACTGTTGTCCCAATCCATACACACATCAATTGTGTAAAGCGCATTTGTACATCGTTTCTCAAAACATTTTCTCTCCACTTAAACCCCCGACATTAGGTCCTCATTTTTCCCCTCCCTCCCCGCTCCCCCCTCCCGCATGAGCCCTTGATAGTTTATAAATGGGTATTTTGTCATATCTTGCCCTGTCCGACGTCTCCCTTCATCCACGTTTCAGTTGTCTGTCCCCCAGGGAGGAGGTCACACACAGTTCCATGTAATCGGTTCCCTCTTTCCTACCCATTCTCCCTTTACCCTCCCTGTTTTGCCACTCACACCACTGGTCCTATAGGGCTCATCCGTCCTGGATTCCCTGTATTTTCAGTTCCTATCTGTACCAGTGTACCTCCTCTGGTCTAGCCAGTCTTGCAAGATGGAATTCGAGTCATGGTAGTGGGAGCGGGGAGGAAACCTTTAGGAACTAGAGGAAGATTGTATTTCTCATCATTGTTACATTGCACCCTGACTGGCTCGTCTCCTCCCCGAGACCCTTCTGCAAGGGGATCTCCAGTGGCCTACTAATGGGCTTTGGGTCTCCACTCCGCACTCCCCCCATCATTCACTATGGTAAGATTTTTTGTTCTGATGATGCCTTACACCTGCTCTTGGGGTCTTTTTTATAACGGCCTGAAGATTCTATTATCAGCGAAGTCAACAAACGCTGCACATGCACATTTCAGTATCATGACCAGTCTGATTTATTCTGACAGGGCACTGATGTCAAAGGCCCCTATGTGTTAGTCTTCCAGACTTCGCTGATAATAGGATAACCCCCCAGGAACAATAATGGTAGCGATACTGTGATAGGTAGGTTTGCTCAAGTAGAAAGAAAATATTTCGAAAAGGATGATGGCAACATATGTACAAATCTGCTTGACACAATGGGTGTATGGATTGTTATAAGAGCTGTGAGAGCCCTAAAATTAAAAAAATGTTTTAAAGAAACCATTTTCCCATTTAATCTGCTTCCCCTTGTCTAGGATTCTTTCCTAATTGCTTACCTGTAAGCTTAAAAGAGGAGCCCTGGTGGCACCGTCAGTTATGATTCAGGCTGCTAACCACAAGGGCAGCAGTTCGAACCCACCAGCAGCTCCGTGGAAAAAAGAGGAGGCTATCTGCTTCCATAATGACTTATAGCCTCAGAAACACAAAAGGGCAGTTCTACTCTGTCCTATTGGTTGGCTGTATATAATAAATGCTCTGCAAAATTTTCTGAGTACCTGTAGATTACAGTGTAGTTTTTCTGAGAAGTGAATGATCAAAGTTAAAAACAGAAAAAGAAACAGGATTCCACATTTTCCTTTACTTTCACCTGTCCGTGGAAACCAGCAATCCTGTAAGTGACGGCTGAAAATGGTTGCAGTATCAAGAGATAACTTGAAATACTAGAAAAGTAAGATTTGATAATAAAGGTGAGCTCCTGCAAAACGAAGGAGCGCTGTTTCCGGCAATATACAAACGATTTAAAAAGAGGGGAGGGAAGAGGCTAAGACCCACTTAAAAAGTCAGCCTTGCGATTGAGCCTTCGAGACGGGCCTTCCTAGCATCAACACGCCAAGCAGTCAAACGGCGCTGATTCTGGAGACCAGAACGTGCCCAACATCACATTTCATCTGTGAGGGAGCCCGTGGAAACACATTTTATAAGACTAGATCTAACTCTGTGTCCTGAGAAGAAGCTGACCACATTTGGAGTTTACGCCAACAAACGCCCGTTTCGCACTCTCGGCCAATGACGACATAGGAAAAATAATGGGGAGAGGTTTATGTTATAAGAAAGCCCCTCCATCCCTCTGCGAGTTGGTGAGAAGCTCTGGAACACATGAGCACTTATTTTAGGAAACAAAATCATAAAGAACGTTTTTCTTTTGAAAGAGAAATTCACTAAGTGGCACTTGGATCACACACACACACACACACACACACAGCCACCGAGTCAATGACTACTTATAGGGAGAGAGAGACACACACACACACACACACAAACACTCACTGCCACCGAGCCAATGACTACTTATAGGGAGAGAGACACACACACACACACACACACAGCCACCGAGTCAATGACTACTTATAAGTGGCACTTGGAACACACACACACACACACACTGCCACCGAGTCAATGACTACTTATAGGGAGAGAGAGACACACACACACACACACACACACACACACA